AGTGGCAGTAGCAGTAGCAGTAGAGGTAGCAGTAGCAGTAGCTGCCGCACTCGCGGCGATCGTGGCGCTAGGACTCCTAACTGCTGATTGACTGGAATTAGTACTAGCACGAACAGTGCCTGTGAAGACCGCTACTAATGCTGCTGCTCCTATCTCTGCCACTGCTGAGTATTTTGGTCATGCAAATCGAACCGCACCTCAGGGTCGAATGTGCATGCTTCAGAGACAGCATACAGGAAATTACAGGAATGCCCGTCCTGGACACCTTTTGCCAAACCGAAGTCGGACCTTGGACACCCGACACTTGCTGGTGGGAAGCTGCTGCCCAGTGCCAGGAATTGGCACGGCCATCTTCAAACTAAGGTGCAATTTCAGGGCCGTAAGACCAGCGGTATGCTCAAACCTGATCAAGACCTTGCAGGAGCAGGGCAAGTCCTAACTATTCACAAGCAAAGGTCTGTCATTCGATGCACACGAAAATCCTGAGAATTCTGAAGACTAGCGACTTCTTGAATACCCGGGCCTCAAATGCCTGGCTAGACGGTTAGATTCGAATGAGTAATCCCTACAGGTACCTTATCAAGCGACTTGTCTTCGGGAGGTTTGGCACCTTCACGAACCGGTGGTGCTAGCAAAAACAACCCTCGCAACGCGGCCTACGGCTGGCACATTCTGCAATCCCTCCTGTCAAAGTGAAGCGAGTGCCCGTTACAGGTCTTATGCGCTCCGTCCTGCGTCGCTTGCACTTGAGTCAACATCGCGCGCTCGCCCAAGGAGCTAGTTCGGTAGTTACCCTCCTTGATGCTCCACTCGTGCCTTTCTCCTCTCCATCCACCTTCCGTTGCGGTTTCTCTGGGGTATCTCTTGGATACCCGGATACCCCTTGTGTTTTGAATTGCTCAGGGTGAACCAGGTCAAGCGAGCATGACAACTGCCTTTGCAGATTGGGGCACGTTGGGAGGCTTGATGTCGCGGTGAATGACGTCGAGGCTATGGATGTAGACGATCGCTTCAGACAGCCTTTGCTCGCAGCTTGACGGCATGACCGGAGACCCAGTCCCTAAACCCGAATATCGGGACCTGAAAAACTGGAAAAGGGTGTTGAGATATATTCTACTGCAATTACAACAAAGACCCCTAAGGAATGGTTGTGGTGGTTATATGTAGTAATTGTGTAAGCTTTTACGTTACCCGACCCGCGCATCCCCGCCCGGTTGCTGGGATGCGGCTCTGAGCCGCATGTTCCAGCTGAAGGCAGTGCTGGGCAAGATCTGGAGCAAGTTGTCTGGCGACACGAACCTTGCGGGACATGGCAGAGCGCTGCCAACGGCAAATACAACACTGGAACTTCTATTGCTTGTAAACTAGCAGGTGCTCTCTACCTAACTTTCCCCACCCACGACAAAGTCGAAACAGACGGTCCGGGCATGTTTAAACTACGATGTAGTCAGCATCAGAACGAAGACTGTGGCTCAGTGCCTGTGCGTGGAGGGCTTAAGTTGCTTCATCAATTTCGCTCCTACATAAAATGCACAACATGTTGGTCCAGCCGCAGGAAACTTCAGAGTTGCATGTTCACAGCACATGGGTCCGGTCTGATCTGCCGTCACGCAGCTCCTGGATGATCACGAAGCGGGAATCCCTCGTCTCCCCGGAACCCAGGAACTTGACGACGTTGGGATGGCTCAGCCTGTGCGGCAAATGACGGAGCGATCGGAGCCAAATGCTGAGTCCACTCCGCCTACAGTATAAGATCAAGCACGGCTGGGTCCGATAGCTTTCAGCAAGCTAGATAAACCCCAGCAGAGCTCGCAGGCTGCACCAAGAGACTTGTGTGGGCCCCTAAATCCACCCTGCCGCATCCTGCCGCCACGAGAGCCCCCCCAGAAAGGCTTCGGAGATGGTTCGCCTTTGCAGTGTCTCGACCTCTTGGTGGAAGAGAGTGCTGTCAGTGTGCATGGCATTCACGAGGAGCTGGCTCTCCTGTGGCTCTCTCCCGTCCCAAGCGGTTGCTACAAGGGTTACACTACAGCCCATCAGACCGGAGGACTTCAATCGTCTTGAAGTCTTGAAGCTGGTCTCGGGAATGCACTTGGAGCAACCGGGATACCACCATAACCCGTTTTTTCTTGCCAAGCCGCGTTTCAAAACGTACTATAAAACCCGGCACCCCAAGCCCTGAAACCTCTCGTTTTGTTACACTCTTACAAAGCCCTTAATCAATAGAACCCTTGAAGTAACCCCAACAGAACCCCGAAAGGAACACCAGATCCACTCCTGTTGGCGCAAGACCTTTGCCGCAACGCGGCCTGAAGGCAACTGGATGCTGTAGACATCGCAGGTTCCACCATCTGCCAGCCAGCAGGACCTGGCAAACCGTAACATCCGGCAACATACAAGGAAAGCCGCAATAAGTAGAATAAGCCTCGGGAGTATTTTCTAGCATATTTATCTCCACCAACCCTGACAACCGTCCAAACCCCTACACCCTAACCCCCGACTCTAGGGGCCTTAAGTTACGTGATTGCCTATACTACTTTGGGGTTCCTAATCATAGTATACTATACCCGCAAACCCTCTTCTAATTATTAAGGCCCCTATATTCAGCACTAAAACCCCCGCGAATCCCAGCGCGCCTGTGGAACCATTCGGACGCAAGTTCAGCCTGCAAAGAGATGGACTGCTCGGAGAGGTCAGCGACTCGCAGATGGTTGTCTGGAAACCAGCCTGGGGTTCGGGGCTTAAGATTTAGGTTTGACGGTGTTTTGGTGCACTCTCGACTTGTTTAGGGTTTAGCGGCTTAGGATCTTGGTTCGACGGGGTTTCGGGTTTAGGGGCTTTGGATTTATGTTTGAGGGGGTTCACGGTTTTGGGGCTTAGGATTGTCACAGGGATGAAGTAGGGGATCTTGCTACTGAAGATTCACGGCCGAGCATGATCTTCGGGGTTCAGGTCGTCAAATTTGGGGCCTCAAGCCAGACGTGGGTGCCCCTTGGATGAGAATATAGCTTAAATCATGATGTCTCTGATTTAAGCCCGTTTTAACTTCAGGCATATACCTAGACCCTCCATTAGACCACCGAGTACCCATTAGTTGGGACCATATACCCCTACTTGAGGGTACAAGGAGGGTCCTGATGATTCCTTCATTATGACGGCTGCTGGGAAGTGCGGCAGGGCGCCTTCACTGGAGCCTTCTGCGGCTTCGTTCTTGGCCCAGACTTTGCGCCATCCACCGTCTAGCTCGGGGTCCACCTCGTTCGGAGGGTTTAGGGTTTAGTTCGATCTGAAACATGACTTCTACTCTCAATGCTGCAAAATTTGAGATCCACCTCGCTCCAGAATACCCAGTCACCACGGCGCAAGCTCAAGTAGACCTTGGTGCAGTTTGGACACGAAACACCACTGCGAGTCTTGACAACTTCGAAGCCCGAAGCAGCGCACCTGCAGAGCATAACAGCGTTTTCGTCTCAGTCTCTCTCGCTCTCTCTCTCTCTCTCTCTGCGGTTGGGTGCCCTTCCCTGTTTCACTCCCACTGGGTAGGTGGCGATGGGGCTGCCGGACTGCATGGTGTGCAGACTCCACGTTTGCAACACAAGTAGAACATGAACCAGTCGCGCAAAGCGATGACAAGGGAGAAAGTCGTCTGCGACAACGGCAAAAGCTCTTCATGTCAGAAAGCTTCCGTTGGCTAGGTGATGTTACAAAACCCAAACGAAGCAGCCACGTCTCACAGACCCCACATCCCCGGTTCCTGCGGCTTTTGGCAAGCTGCTTCCACCGTGTCTCTATCGTATCCTTCCTGCGCTGCATCAAAGTTGTGCACGACCTCCGCATAGACCTGCAGCTTTTGCCAGTCACTTCGGGCACCTCTTCCCAACCATACCCAGCAGCACACCTGGCCTTGCCACTTTGCTGAACAGCATCGGGCATCTCTGGGAACAGCGGGGTCTCTGGAGTTCCTGGTGAACCTGGGGCTGAATGCCCCGTGGCGCTGGTGCTTTCACCTGTCTCCTGGGCAGGGTCACGGCAGCCCTTTGCATTATAGTTATATCAGACAGATGTGACATGAAAGCTGAATTCGGACTTACATTCAACGGGACCGTTGAATAACAGTCATTGTCAGCAAATTTGGCAGGACCGTCGCGCTGACAAGAAAGACTAAAGCTCTAACATTGCGTCACATATGTCCCAGCCACCTTTCAAAACCGCTGCAGCCGCGAAAAGTACAACTCGCGAAGCTCATATCAAGAATGATCAACGTTCCACCAACTCACCGCGTCAGCAATCTAAGACTAGCAATATCATCATCACCATCATGTTCATCACCATCATCAGAAACGTCCCCTTCACTATCACCATGGTCACCATTGTCTCCTCTTCCTCCTCCTTCGCCGCATCCTCGGCCTCATCGTTGACCACCACGAGGATTAGCACAGTCGCAGCCTGACCATCCTCATGCTCGTCCTGGTCGGCATCCTGGACATCATCTTCATCGACGCCCCCCGCAACAAGCAACACGCCAAATGGCTAAATAGAAACAGAATAAGACTTGACATCACAGCCAATCGTCTCAAAAATCACAGCTTCCCACTGGATGTCGTGACTTATCAGCACCATTCGGCCCATTTGGCACGACTTTGCCGTTTGGAAGGTCAAAGCTTCCAGCACAAGATAGACAATATCAATAGTTTGAACACCACAATGACCATGCTCGTAAGGCATAATCATCGTCATCAACATGACAACTCAACATCACCTTATCCTCGCCAGCATGATCTGCATCTTCATCTGGATTCCCGTCTTCCTGATCATTGTCAGTATCATGATCATCAAAACCCCATGCTGAAAAAAGGTGCCTAGCTCCCTGCCTCCTCAGAGGAAAACTCAAAGTCAATCTCGTCGCCACGCCTTGCACGAGATCACTCGCTGCTACTTCCTACGACCTAGAGGCGGGATTACACCCGAGAGCTGTTCAGGTACTTGGCCGGGCCAGTCCGGTTGAAAGACTCCCGGGCCTGTCATCATCACCCAGGTCGGAGACCCGATCCAGCTCGACCCATGCACCTGCCGCAGTTCGACCCCTGATCGCGGAGGTCGGCTTCCCGAAGAGATGCACATGTCTCAACCTGAGCACGGATGTCCGGGCCCCTTAGGGTTTAGGGTTTAGGAGCCTTCGTGTCAGATCTGCAAGCCCTGCAAGCACCGGGCTTGGTCAGCACAGGTTTGGAATCCACAGATCTGGGTGTGGAAGACCGTGTTACTGATTATGGGTATAGACGAGTGTAAATCAAGGAACAAGAGTGAGGAACAGCGGCCTACTTCATGACTATAATCCCTGATGGCTACAGTAACTGGTCCTGAAAATGTCCAGCAAAAAATTACGCTGAACACTCCTTCGCGACATCCGTGTACTCGATTTGCAAGCCTCGATGGTTTAATTACAGGATGCGATCACGAACACTTTAAGGTGTGCTAGCATGACTCATACATCTAATGAGAAGTTCAGAAGTCCCCCGAGTATCCAACAGCTGAAACGACCTGGTGCTCGGGCCGCCACAAAGTGGTCTGTTGGTCCTCCAACTCTTTGTAAAACTCTTCGTTCTTGTACGGCATGCCCGCAAAATATGGAAATATTCCCATTCTGTGCAGTCCGTGCGCATTCTGATCGAAAAGGTTTGCGGCGGCCTCCACGGTAGTGACACGCCTGCACATCATGTGCGGTAGGAGAGCTCGAACCATGTCACCCGCAATAGACGACTGACTGATAGAACCAGTCATTCAACACAGCTATTCCAGGTCCAGCACTCTGGACAGACTGCGATGACACGAACCATCACGAGTCCACAATGAATTCCAATGATGCACATGCGACAAAGCAGACTAGAATACAATGCGACAGAAGTGAGTCGCATGTCCCGTGTCGACGGCCCTACACGGCAGCAACCAACAGACAGACAGACAGACAGGCAGACAGACAGGCAGACAGACAAACCGAGACACAGACGCAGACACAGACAGAGACACACACACGCACACCCGAACCTACGCAAACAAACAAATGCGCGCAAAAATGAACGCTCGTCTCTCAGCCCGTCCTAACTGAAGCTACCATAGAAACAAAACAGCTACAACAAAAACACAAGCCATGCCTGGTGTGCATAGCACGGTGAATATCTTCCACCCAGCCCTCCGGCAAGTCAGAACGGAAGCTCCTGTCCAGGAGTTGGAAGACCTGGTACGGCAAAGTTAGCCGGCCAAGCTGCCAAGCACCAGGGAGACGACCCATGGCTCGCTGAAGCCAGTGAGGTGCCGAGATCAGGCGGATGCTCGGGAGATCCCGCCGACCATGGGTGGAATACCAGCCCAAACACTCTGAACCTGGCCGAGCTACTACCTGAAGGACGTCTGAAGATCTGAGGACGTCCTGAATGTTGCCTTCTTGAAGGAAGATATCAGCAGCATACAATAAACCGGGGCCAGTCTCGAGTCTGGCCCCTGGGACTGCATTTTCCGCTGCTTTCAGCTTCTCCTTCAAGATGTGCTTGGCCTTGTCACAAAATTGCGAGCAGATCTCACCGTGAAAGAATTTGACGACGGCGACCTTCTCTCCTGCACGCCATGCATCTTCAACACGCTGAATTTGCCAACGCAAGCCCATTGTGCCATCCACCTCCCTCACGGCACAGTCAGCCTTCGAGCTTGGGCGAGCCGTCATGACTTGGGCAATGGGGAAAAGTCACTACAACTGTTGGCGACAGAAAACCCTTTCTTCCGCAGTTTTTGGCCCGCGTCGCCTCGTGGATGACAGTGTTCACGAAAGCTTCGTCTGCCAGCGCAGGTAAGCCTTTCAAGTAGAGGGTCCCGCCCTTCACGAAGCTGCGAGCGATAGCCCTTGATCTCGAGGCTCCACAGTGTCGTCCCAAGTAATCGCATGCTTGGCAGTAAAGCTCATCGTGCGTAGCATGGTGTTTCCGCTTCAACTGCTCCACGATGCCACCGAATGGAAACCGGCTCATGGCCTCCATGTCAGCCTCTTCAGTCGCTATGAAGACCAAATGGTTTTCTTTCTCTACATTCGAGTCCTCTGATGCCATTCTCATGGCAGTCTTTTGCTAGGTATCTCCGATCCCCCTTCGTCTCGACAGCGCAATGGAGCCTGCGGAATCCTGAACATGAACTCGAAAAGGCAGAGAGGATGATCCGAAGGATCGTCAGTGGGCTACTGCACTATAAGCCTACAGTAAAGTATCCTAGATGAACACAAATGCGCAGAAAGTTAAGCATCGACTGCCGTGGAAGGCCACCTTGTGCAGAAAGCTGTCTCTGCTAGCTTGAAAAGGGGCTTGCGAGAAAGGATGACTCTGCTTCTTGTAGACCACATCGATGCCGTGCCCGTCGGTAAGTTCCAGCACCACTTCGCATGCCCGCACAATGCGGGTCAGTGCAGGGATGAGCTGCTCGCGCTCTGGACCAGGTCTGCGCCACACCTGCCCAAGCTTGGTGCTCAACGTGCACCTGCCTAGGTTCAGTTCCTCCAACACGTCCCGGGCAACAAGAAGGAGGCAGCGGAGGCTCTTCTCATACAGCGAAGCTGTCAGCGAGTGGTAGCACTTAAGAAGATCCAAAGCATTGGGGTCAACTCGACATACCAGCCCACGAGCTCTCGGCATCTCCGCAATCCTAAGGTCGGTAGGTCCGATTTCCGTCAAGGTAGGCCACTCAACTTCCGTTCCGTCCAAGCCCACGCTGTTCTTGGCGCTTTGATCCTTGCATCTGGGACAAATTCTGTCCGCGCCACTGGCACGCGAGGTGAACCCATGACGATTGGGACAGACATAGAAGTACCTCGATGTCAGCAGGCACTACGCTGTTCAATTTCCGATGCTGCTACATTTTCGCGGTAACAGGTTAGGGCACCTGGAGCCTAGACCGGTGGGAGCGTGAGGTACGTGCTACTTCTGCATGTTCATCCGTGTTCTCGTCTCTTGCCCGCCTCGTTGACCTTTCGCTCTCTGTCTTCACATGGGCCGCCAACTCCCCCTCGATGCTTTGCAACGCCCACTGGCAGTCCTCGATCTTGGGCTAGGCGGCTAGTCCCCGGTTTGAAGTTGTCTCTCTGGTGAAGGACTCAACCCACAATCCTGACCGTTTCACCACCTTCTGCAAACTCGGCACAGCTCTCTAGGGTTCAGGGAAGTTTAGAGCCGAGCCCGAGGGAAGGCAAGAGCACATGCTCCACGTAAAAAACCTCAAGATCGGTGTATCACCTGCCGCAAGTGCACTTCGGGGCACTCGGAGAAAAAAAAAAACACGGCAAGATCACGCCTCCGCCCGAAGGTTGCCGCAGTACTCCCAATTTTCAACACCATCCCGCGTTGTAAACCCTGTATTTTGAATCATCTCGTTTGAAACTCTCATCTACAGCACCTAAAAGCCACCACCGCCCTTCAAGCTCAAGCCGGGAACACCAACAATCCGGCCAAGACGCATCGCAGTATGGACCTTCCCAATGAACCTTGTCAAGCTGTCAGCTGGGGCTTGGCTCCAATGGCTCCAATGCTTCCATCAACGTCCGGCTTGCCTACAACCACCCTGAACATCTTGCACAGAACTTTGCGCCCGCTGCCGCTAAACCCAAGCCAGAACCCTCTAAACCGCAAACGCGGCCCTCGCCTTTGCGTCGGGATGGTGGATGCACATCATCGTCTCCGGATTTTCCGCAAGAATGCCGTTTTGGTCATCCTGCGCTGGTTGGTTCAGGATTCAGGGTTGTGGGCTGTTGTGGGTTTAGGGTCTAGGGTGGATAAAGGGAGGGCTTTCCGGTTGGGGGCCCAATATCATGCGCCACATGCCTCCCGAAAGAAACCTCTCTTGAAAGATGCTGCAGTTTCGAGCAACAGCCCGTTGAATCAGTAGGTGCTCAGCAAACAAGCTCCTGTTGCAAACAAACTTAAGCAAACGATGACGCAATTGTAGCTTTGGCCGGTGCAAATCAGCCATCCCCTACATGATACGGCACTTCTCCCCCAGCCTAGCCCTAAAGTACCAGCTATTGCAAGAGAAACCACAGGCAACAGCAACAACTTGCATCGGGAGACACAGCTTGGCATAGCAAGCACTGCTGGCGCTGAACGGACCAAGCCCGACATCTATAGGGGGCTCAGGTAACCAAACAACGTACTACTTTTTTTCCCCTCTCGCATGGCACGGATCAAAGCCTACAGGCGAGAGTACTACTTAGACGGAACATATTTGGCTTGTGAAGTCGACCGGCAAGAACCCAGAAAACCAATCTTAATCTCAAAGCTCCGTCCGGCAGAATTACCCTACGCAAGATTCTGTCCCAAAACTTCAGCTGACGGGATCAACGACCTGTCCTTATAGGCAGTGGAATCCAAATCACTCGCCCATAGCTTTCTAGCTTTCTACGTTTACCCATGGCACTCGGACTCGTCAACGTAATTTCGAGCCTGTGCATCAACATCATCCCATAGCTCTTCCGCCATTGCACTGCTGGGAACTGCTACTTCCCAACAAATGAGCTGCCCCGGCAACAAGCATTGAATTTTGTGCCCAATTATCGCAAGTTCCTCTCCTTGTCTAATACTGACTAGACTGCACTAGTGGATAGAATCTGCAGGGGATGACCTTCCAATAAGCATGTACCGTGACTTGTTCGGACACTTGTCATGTCTTGATATACATCCCGACCAAATCCTCAGAACCACAGCTGCAGCTGAATCATCGGTCACAAGAGTCACCTCAATATAACATCCCGAAGCCCAACTGGGTTTCAAAGAACCATGACTAGCCTGCCCGTCAAGTCCGCTCATCTTAGTCAAGCACTGCACTCACGAAGCATGTGGCCTGAGGGCTCGTCAGGCAACTGTAAACACTGCACTCGCAGAAACTCGGATCACGTGCCCGACATCAGCCTCCCTTTCGGCTGGGCTGAGAAGTTCGCTTGGAGAAATGGAGACTCCGAAACGAGTCTCACCTTTTTACCCCTGTGTCTCTACAATATGCTGGGAACCGACCGACTGTGCTGTGGACCTGTGCCATGCGGATACCCGAAACTGCCCTCAACCCTAAGCCCCAACCTCCAAGGGAGTCACAGGCTTGGAGAAACGGCAGTAGATGCGAAACAAATTCTACAGTCACCACGAGCTACCCGTACAATCACCAATCAAACAAAAGTAGCAACAGCACCGGCAGCAGCACCACACAAACCGCCAAACAGTCAACTAACCAAGCAACAAAACAACAATAACAACATATGCTCATAGTCGTTGGTCACACTGGCAAGTGTACGAAATGGCTGGCATCCAAGAGAGAGAGTTCGGAATCGTTTGCGGCCCGACTGCCGAGTCCAGGGAGACATGTGCCCATCACGATGTGCGGAAACCGAGCACGACATTGGAGGCCTGGACAAACCCCTGTTCTCACGGGAGACTGGCATTGGGGAGGGTGCCACTGCTGGGCCCTCATGGGCTTACGCATGAAGCGATACGATGCGAGCCAAGTGCTTCTGGATGAATACTCGCAGTAGTGTATCAAGTGAATGTTTTCAGCTTGGCGTCTAGTGATCTGCACTCGCCTGATCATATCAATTGTGGAATTGTTTTCATCCGAGACATTCAAAACTCTGTCGGTTGAGCGACAGGTACACAGTTCGATCGATTCCAGGATCGACTCCGAGATTGCGGTCGGACAGTGCCGGCGAGGCTTGTGGTCAGATTTCGGGGTTTAGGGTATTTAATGGGTGTGTGCGAGAGGCAGCTTTGAGGGTCAATCCAACTCGGCAAGACCCTTCGTTGCTGAAGAACCACACGGCTCAGCAAGGGATGCTGCCAAAATGCTGATACATATAAGCAGATAGTGTGTATATATATATATATGTATATGTAGAATTTATATCATTTCAGTCAACGGGTCGGACTCTCATGCGTGGACATGCTATTCTAAACCCTTCGGAGCCTAAATCCAAAAAACCCAAAATCCATACAGCAACCCGGAACAAAACTTAACACACACACACACACACATTAAACTGCAAGCTCAAAGAGCCAAACTCCAGGCAGCCCACGGCGTCATTTTCTAACCACGCTGCACTAGCATGTGCCGGATCAGGTTCCAGAAGTACGCGCGACCTGGCATGCATGCATGCGGGAAGAGATCACATCGCAGGGAAGCCTAAAAGCCTGTACAGGTTCAGGATCTTGGGGATACGGGCTTGTGTAATTAAGGGGTCTTGGTTTAGGGTGTCAGGGTTCCGGCTGCGAGCTTTGAGCTAAGGTGACGGGGGCTTCTAGGGGTTTGGGTTTTAGGCTTTTGGGAGTGGGGAAGGGATGTCTTGCGGCGTTGGCAGCCGTGTAAGGCCCCAAAAGGACTGTGTTGAAGTGGGGTTACCTTCCAAGTACGCAATTTGGAAAAGGTTCCTG